GATCCATTCTACAGAAACACTGACTCAATAATCACTGTATTTTAGACAAGTAGAGAGCAACTGAGTTCTCTTTCTTTGTACCATGTATGTTGCTAACCATTTGGCAACATGGTTCCAGCCAGGACATACAGCGTTAAACTCAGCTACTTAACTCTCATTGAAAGTTGAGGAGTGAGAAATGCTAGTTATGAGGCTCAGAATGTGAACAGGACACTCATTCTTTGGGTTTTCTCTTTGCATTTGGTCTCTGGAAGTACTAGTCTCATTGACTGGTCACTTGGGAATAGTGATTTCCCATTTCACTAATGCAGCAAAAAACCCCGGAGTTTTCCCAATTGAGAGTGGGCAGGGGCCGTCCCCAGGGAGATTTGGGTTTCTGCTTTAAGTACTAGGCAAATATTCTTTTTGCCCTTCAACATGTTCACATTTTCTTACCATTAGATATGTGAGGTACAAAGGGCTTATTTTAGGGTACACACCCAGGAAAACAAAAGGCTACTTAGGCTGCTTTTAAATAGGTCATAGGCCTTCATGTGGGCTGTGAAAAAGTTCTCTTAGCCTCATCAAACCCAGAACAGCTCACTAGAAGATTTTAGGGTTTGGAGGAAAAGCCTTGTGGTAATAACTGGTTATTTAAACTGGAATTTTCCTTCCGCCTATTGTCTCTTCACCAACCTGACTGGAGTTAGATGCATCAGTTTGGGTCCTTTTTGAGAAGCAGACATCAAGACAGGCTTAGATATGCAAGAGGTTTTTTTTTTTTTAATTATTTATTTTTTTATGCAAGATATTTATTGAAGGAAACACCAGTAAAGAAAAGAGGAAGGAGCCAGAAGTGGTGACCCTGTGAGGGACAGAGGAATAAGAAGAATCTCAGACTTCAGCACAAATCTAAGAAAGTCCATGATATAGTTTGGGTATTTGTCCTCTCCAAATCTCATGTTCAAATTTGATCCTCAGTGTTGGAGATGGGGCCCAGTGGGAAGTGTTTGTGTCATGGGAGTGGATCCCTCATGAATGGCTTGGTGCCATCCCTGTGGTAATGAGTGAGTTCTTGCTCTATTAGTTCACACTGGTTATTTAACAGTGTGGCACCCCTCCCATTGCTCTATTGCTTTCTCTCTCACCACGTGACACACCCGCTCCCTCTTCACCTTCTGACATAACCGGCAGCTCCCTGAAGCCCTCAATAAAAGCAGATGCTGGCACCATGCTTCTTGTACAGCCTGCAGAACTATGAGCCAAATAAACCTCTTTTCTTTATAAATTACCCAGCCTCAGGTATTTCTTTATAGCAATGAAAAGGGACTAACACAGTCGGCCAGGCCAATGGAAACTGCTTAGGCCAGAGTCCCCCATCAGAGGAGTCCTACATCTCTCAAGAACAGGCCTGCATTAGCACCTTCCTTGTGCTCAGTCAGTGGGAAGTATGGCTTCAGCAGGACGCAATGTTGAATTCAGAGTGCAGCACTTGGAGGTGTCTGTTAGTTGCACTCTCAGAAGCAGGAAACCTCAGTGGTGCATTATCACATGTTCACCACAGTAGGCAACCCATGGATGGATGAGGACCCAAGGTTCTAACTAAATAACATGTCTTCATGACCAGGAGATGTAAGAAACAGCTGCATAAAACCCACCATTGCCTTCATTGCAGGCAAACTGCGGGGGATGCTGTCCACTACATCACAGTGTCCCCTTTATGAGGGCCCAAGAAAAATATCTCCTGTGGCTCAGGGCGAGGCACAGCTATTCCTCCTGCACAACTGGTATGTTTTTATCGTGTAGACATATGGGTTTTCTAGCAGATTGCCTCTGTCTTAACTGCTAGGAAGTTAGAGCCAGATTTGGGGTCTACCTCTGGCTTTGGGGGCTTTTCTTTTTCAATTATTCTGTTTATCTTCTCTGATTCCTTTAGTCAGTACTGCTGTTCTCTTCAAGTAATCTAAACTCTCTTCTGAAGCAGGGCAAGAAATAATCACCTTAAACTAGGCTGGTATCTATTAGAACTAAAAAATACTAGATTTTTAACATTTCAGCTATTTCTATTTATGATAACTTTACAGGCTGGGTGTGGTGGCTCACGTCGTTTAGAACTAAAAAATACTAGATTTTAAACATTTCAGCTATTTCTATTTATGATAACTTTACAGGCTGGGTGTGGTGGCTCACGTTGTTAATCCTAGCACTCTGGGAGGCCAAGGCGGGAGGATACCTTGCGCTCAGGAGTTCAAGACCAGCCTGAGCAAGAGCGAGACCCTGTCTCTACTAAAAATAGAAAACATTAGCCGGGCATGGTGGTATGCACCTGTAGTCCCAGCTACTCGGGAGGCTGAGGTAGGAATATTGCTTGAGCCCAGGAGTTTGAGGTTGCTGTGAGCTAGGCTGACACCACCACGCTCTAGTCCAGGAAACAGAGCAAGACTCTGTATCAAAAAAAAAAAAAACAAACAAAAAGAAAAAGAACTTTACATATAGGTCAAACTCCTTTGCTCTAAATGAGCGCTGATATAAACAGAACGTAAGCCAATGTAATTTAAAATTTTTAGTAGCCACATTTTGAAAAGGAAAAAAGAAATAGGTGAAATTAAGGTAATTTAAGTCTTCAGAAGGTCACTGTGTATTTTATACTTACAGCACATCATGTAGCTAGCAGTTCCTATACTGAACAGTGCAGGTCTATTTACGAAGACTATGAATGAACAGAGAATCAGAAAACCTTAAGAGAATAAACATAACTGTATCTAACCTGTATTCATATTGGCTTTGATTAAAGATTTCTGAGCTCCTGGAGGTTTCTGATACAAACACTAGGTCTAAGAAAGGATGACCCTGACAGGGGTAATGACCATAAAAACTCTAAGATTTCTGGATTTTTTTTTTAACTTCCCTGTTACTTTTTCTTCACTGGACCACCCTTGGCTCTTTCTAAGAAATGATGTATACAAAATAATTATGTGCATCTAGTAAGAAAGAAAGCAAACAAAAAGAAATACATTTTGTTTATTCTATATTTCATCTAGAATATTAAAAATCACTTAGAAATTAAAGTATAAAAATTACTTTAAAGCAAAAGTGACTTTATTAAAAATTACTTTATGAAGACATTTTGGAACCAGCTCTAGAACTTTACACCTTTGGGATAAGAAAAGTGTTTTGCATTTGAATCAGGGCTAGAAGACCAAAAATGTAGTTAAATTCCTGAGAGTTAAGAATTTGACTTTTTTAGGCAAATTAACCTACAAAAGCCTCCATTCTTTATCTGCTACATAAAATAATATTTACCTTATAGAATAGCAATGAAGATTAATAATATTATATACAATAATAGTAAGTACTCAATTGTAGCAAATAGTAAGTACTCAATAAATGGTACCTATTATCACTGTTAATTACAAAAAACTATTAGATCCAGGTATTCTTAACCTGGGGTCTGCAGATCCTTGGTCCAAATTGCGGGGGTGGAGATCCCTAAATCTGGATGGGGAAAAGGGATTACATATGCATTTTCACTAAACAAAATTTAGCATTTCCTTCCATTATGAATGTAGGCAACATCATAGATATATTAGATGCACGTATCACTTTGCACCGACATCACAGATACTTTCACATTACATTTCTGATGTACAGGTATCTCAAAATATCTCTTAATCACCTGTTTTTGTTTTATCACCTTTTTGAAATTATTGTAGCTATTAGACCTGATGCTACAACTTGTTAATTAACAATAAACACAGACTGTTATCAATGTATTGTTTTTAATTTAAGTATAATAGGTTTCCTTTGTAATCCTACATGTTTTACGTTATGGATTTAAAGCATTATTCTGAAAAGGGGTCCACAGAGTTCACAGGACTGCCATGGCACCAAAAATAAATTACGAATCTCTAAATTTTAGTCTGTATCTTTGCTTTCAAAGAAAGCCAACCAAATTTAACAATTCAGCACCTGGGTGAGGCAATTCCCAAAGTCTCGGATTTGTTTTTCTGTGTGTGACTTGACAAGAAGACATTACAATTCTCGCACCTGATTCTTCATCAATTAACCTATTTGCTGAGCTCACCTTCAACTTATACCTGGCACCAATCCTGTTGAGGTTCTATGTTGGACCTTATGAAGTACACATAAGGAGCTGACAGGCTGGTTTTCTGGTATGTTCTGTTAACACACATCTGGCCCCCACTAGATGCCAAGACTCTGATGAAGTTGCACAGTGGTTCTCAAGCGTGGTCCCAGACCAGCAGCATCAGTATCACCTGGAGGCTTATTAGAGTTGCAAATTTTCGGGTCACACACCAGACTTTCTGAAACAGAAACTCTGGGGTCTATCAGTCTGTTTTATCAAGCCTTCCGGAGATGCACGCTGGAGGATGCGATCCGTCACGCTAGGGAATCGGAGTTCCGTCCAACTCTGGCAGAGAGGCTCCCACCTCCCCAGTCTTGGCGGGGACTAACGTGGCTCCTGCAACTGGGGGCTGGAATTTTGATGCAGGCAGTGCTGAGGTGCAGCCAACGAGCCGAAAGCTGGGGCTAGAGGGCTTGTTTTGCTCCTGCAGCCCGATTTTACTTACATTACCCGTCGCCTCGAAGGTGACTAACAGAGATTACCCCTCAGCACCACGCCCTCGGCGCCACCGCTGCACCGCAAGAGAAAAGTCAGGGAGGGCCTACGAGCTCGCGGGGAAGAAAGCCCCAAGCCTGCAGCACCAGGTCTGCGATGCAGCCGCCCGAACCCTTCCCGGGCCTTCCGCCCGGCGCTAGAAGGCGCACTGCCTGACGGGAATTGAGGTCCCGGGAGCCCGCGGGTCTCAGGCTTTCCGGGCTCCGCCGCCTCCGGAAAACTACAAATCCCAGGATACCTGGCGCGTGCGGGTCACGAGGGAGGGGCGGCGGGCGCGGCTAAATAGTCTCCATCGGCCATTTTGTGGAAGAAGCCGCAGCGCCGCCTCTTCTTTCGCGTCTCCGCATCCGTCGCCGCCGCCTCTTCCTCCGCCTCCTCCTTCGCCTCTTCCTGCCTCCTCCCGGCTTCCGCCGCCGCCGCTCCATCGAATCCCAATCCAGGGGTGAAGCATTTCCTTATTTATTTCCGTTTTCTCGCCACTACAGCCTCCTGACACGGTGATCCGGGCGGGCCCCGCAGGAATTTTATCCCCTCACCGGCCTCACACTAGTATCGCATGTCCACTATCCAGAACCTCCAATCTTTCGATCAGATCGCCGCCGCCGCCCCCCGGCCTTCCCCCGTTCGCCTCTCGGACGGCCGCCCGCCGCTGCACGACCCGACCACCGCCCCAAGGGCCCCCCCTTTCTGCCCTCCCCGTACCCCAAGTGGGGCTTTGTCTCGGCGCCCAGAAAATGGCGACTGGGCCCCTGGCGACCCCCTCCCCGAGGACGGCGCTGGACTCAGAGCACCGGCTGCGGACCCCGCGCCGCCCCCTGCCCGGTTCTGACCCAGCTCCTGCCTCCGCTTCAGCCCCTTGACACTTCGGCGACCCTATTCCGCGGGCTCCTAGATCAGCCCTTCTGCTGGCAAGGGGGTGCCGGGACAGGGGGCTTGGGGATCGGCGTCCATTCGCGGTCAGAGCCGCTTTGGAGCATCTTTCGGGGGCATTTAGTAAAAGATGCGGATACAAGTCTCTGGTCTGTCACAGGGCAGCGGTTCGGGCTTCTCTGCTTGCGTCGTAATTTGTAAAATGACGCCTCTTGATATATGTTTAATTTTTGCAAGGCAGAGTTGCAGTTAAATGACTGCGGTGGGCATACTTGAATGTTTGTTGGTTTCATCAGAATTAATCCAGATGACGCACATTTTTATAGCGGCTGTAAAATTAAGGTTTTATAAGTCTCTTTCCTCATTAGAAGACCATGTTCAATGATAACATTATCTACCTATGCCAACGTTTTTCTGCAGCGTACATACTTGATTAAATATTTGATATTTTTTTATGAGAGTACCTTGGAGGTTTTATTAATACTCCACCTCAATCCGCAAAAAAAAGCAAAGGCACTGGAACCTTCATTGCTGACTATCTTGATTTGTAGCGTACCATGTTCTGGAAAGTACTTTCTAAAAAATATTTTTCAACTTTGGATTTTTTTTCTATCCCTTTGTAGACCCCTTTGCTGATGCAACTAAGGGTGACGACTTACTCCCGGCAGGGACTGAGGATTACATTCATATAAGAATCCAGCAACGGAACGGCAGAAAGACACTGACTACTGTTCAGGGCATTGCAGATGATTATGACAAAAAGAAACTTGTGAAAGCTTTCAAAAAGGTAAAGGGGTTAGGAAGAAGGGATTAAAATAGAGTTATTGACGCACATCTCAGAATTGGATTATGATTCACATCTTTACTTGAATATATCAGGGTGGATGAAAATGACTGGACCCAGGAAAGTTGTTTTCATTCTTGTAATTAACACACAGATATGTGGTTTATCTTCCAGTATGGTCTCCCATCTTCAAATATGATTTGCGTGACTTTAAAATAAAATGTAAAATATTTAGTTCTTGATATTACACATAAAATAATTTCCTTTATGTGACCTTATGATTTGTTTACAAATTAACTTAAGTTGGAGGTGTTGTGGATTATGGGAAACAAAATCTGTTTCTTAAATATAATCAAGCCCACTGAAATAGTTAATTTTATTCTTGTGGTGAAACAAAACCTCATTGCATTTGACTAAATTATGTTGTACATTTGTGTACTTCTCCAGAAATTTGCCTGTAATGGTACTGTGATTGAGCATCCCGAATACGGAGAGGTTATTCAGCTTCAAGGTGACCAAAGAAAAAACATTTGCCAGTTTCTCTTGGAGGTGAGAGATTGGGTGGTTTTTGTGTAACTTGAGATTGCTTCTAAAATTGTATTTAAAGGCAACAGGAATTATTTCCTACTTAGTAAAAATCATGTGAATGGAGTAAATTAGGTGAGTGAGTGAAATAAAGATTTAAGACTTATTTTGAAAGCAAAGAGCTTTTATCTGGTTTATTTTGTCATTAGAATGATCATATCTGTATATACACACAGTGTTTCTTGGCATGCAAAGTATTCATGTATGTGTCGAATTGTTGGCTATTAACAGTGCATGTTGCAGATAGCAGTGTTGCAATAAGCTGTTAATGAATGCTTTTTAATGACTGCTCCATGTTTTCTTAGGAATGAATTTATTCCTCAGTGATTCTGCTAAATTAAATTTTATTTTACAGGTTGGCATTGTCAAGGAGGAACAGCTTAAGGTTCATGGATTCTAAAATGAACCTAAATACGTGGAGAATTTCTTGAATAATTCTGTTCTCTAAACCCAGTTTGGCTGCCTTGTGAAATGATTCTCTGCAGTAAACGGACTTCTCATTTATTTAATCATTCAAACTTCCATTCACATCTGCATGATTATAGAAAACATGGGGTATGTAGGCTAGTAACACATAAGAAAATTGCAGTAAGATGGTAACAAAACCCCGTATTCATCTTAACATGTTTCCAATGGAAAATATTTTGTTTTGAGTGTTTGTTTGTTTATTGTTCAGTTTATTACTTTTCACTTGATTAAATGTTTTTTGTTGTATTAAACCATGTATGTTGCAGCTTAACAATAAAAAAAAAAAACTATGAATCCTTTTGTGAGCAGTTATGCTCCCAAATCTAAGCAAGTAAAATATGCTTATGTCTTGTCTTTCATAATTGGAGTTCTCATTCTACAAATATTCTTTCTGATGGGCTTCAGCAGCTGAGATAGAGGAGAACCTTTGTTATATGTAGCTTGTGTTTTTTCATTTATTGACTTAGAAATAAGAATAGAAGCAGGAGTATAAACTTCACCAGAGCCATGACTCCTTGCAAGCCAACTAAAAGTTGTGGCATTTATCAGAATGTAGTTTTGAGGTGTTTTTTTTTAAAGAGTATGACGTTTAAACTTTAAGGTGTTAGCACATAGAGTTCTTTTATATGTGTTCTTTTATCGATTGTGTTACTGGGCTGCCAACATAAGTCTATCCCTAAGTGCCAGATACTATAATAGGCTCGTGACATAAACTATATTTAGTCACAGGCACTTGGTTGCAAATGTGGGTAGTGATAGAAGATATTGGGCTTCAGGTTAACTTCCTGGGAGTGCTAGAAAGTGACAGTTGGGATGTCGGCGTGGGCTTCCAGCCAGAAAAGCCATGTCCTTTCACTACACCATGATTTTGGTGTGTGTTTCACCAAAGGAAGCGAGGGCCATGGGTGAAAATGACCAGGGGTGTTGGTGGTGTGAGAAATACAATTTGTAGTTCTTAATTGTGAGATTTCTGTGGCTCATCTTGAGTTCGAGGCTTCTGCTTTCTATTGAGCAGTAGTTAGATGCTCGGTTGTACAAACCATACCATAAAACCATTTAGCCAAGACAAAGAAATGCATCTACAAGTGCAAACTTTTTAGCTTACTACATTCGAACAACAATGAAGTAAACAAAGTCTACCACTTGGATGAATTCATTCTGTACCCCGTGAGGCCTTGCCTCTATTTTGAGATAGTGCTTTTGGGAAAACAAAATCAGCCCCTACAAAGTTTGCCTCTTAAAGGCACTAAGTAATAGATTTGTTACTTGGCCACTCCATTCCTCCAATCAAGAAAAACTGAGACTATTAAGAGGTGAGTACACCAGAATATAGTGCCAAATTTGATAAGTTCGTTTCTGGAAAACACCAGTATTGTTTCATGAAGATCAAGAGATTTGGGAGAATTTTCCAACCTATTAATAAACTACTTTTTCACCTGTAACATTGTGTAATGGTTCTATCACTAGTTGAAGAGTACTATGGAAATAGTAAAGCAGAAACTAACATTAACATCCACATTACAGTGTTGCCTAAATAAATACATTTGCTGAGAGCTGAGCTAGTGCCTAGAAAAGAATTACCTTCTGTTAAGGTGGTATGAGGGAGGTCTCATAGAGGGGAAGAAAAACACCCCTCATCCTGGGACCCATACATAAACTCTTAGTAATCGCTTCATGTGTCAGACCACTCACTGGAAGTCAATGGGACAAAAAGCCTTGAGCAAAACTTCTCTGGATTTTGTGAAGAGCACTTCTGATCCTCCAGCCTGTGAGCCCTGGACACCTGATTGGACTTGTCACTTGTAGGCAGTCCCAATCCTTAAGAGGAAAAACAGATCGTGTACCCTTGTCTTTGAGCAAGCAATGGAAATAAAGTACATAATATCTACAGATTGCTGTGATTTTACTGAAACTAGTGAAAGGATAAACTTGGAGTCATCTCCCCCAGTTAGAAAAGCTGTCTGACTAGGAGTCTCTGAGAGAAGAATCTAAGAGCAGGGCTAACTGGTCTTGGCTTTGGAGGCAAAAGAGACCAGGAGGCATTGTGTAATTGAGGAGGGAAGATAGAGTATGTCTTAGAGGAAAATGTCAGTAGCCAAACAATACCTCCCTGTACCTTCCGCGTGGGAAGATTTTACCCTGCATTTTCTTCAGTGGTTTTATGCTTCAGGGCGCAAAACGCCAGATACCAAGTAGAGGACAAGTAGGCTTGTCCGTAGACTTCTAAACGTGGCAGAGGCTGTAGGGATTTAGGACCTTTGGTTGAGGCACAGCCTGGAGTAAGGTGCTACTAGCAGCAGTGTATCTTCTACCTTTCAGTGTTGGCCCTCCTGAGGCAGAGAAAACACCCTGGAAGCAGTCTGCTTTACGTGCTTAGAAACTGGAGTAACGGGAGCTGTTCTCTTAACCAGCCGAGATAGAGGGTGGCTCTGATCATATGGAAGGAACAGTTCTGGTCCTAGTCATGATGGCAGTTAACCAAAATAACTAGAGAAATACAGAGTGGTAATGTAGGCTTCTGTATGCCACCAGCTGGGATTCAGCTAATGGAATGAAATGGGTGGTTACAGCTCAGGAGAAGAACCTCATTAGATTGCCCCCGCACACCAGTTCCACTGGGCCTCTGAGGACTCCCCTTGCCAAGCCAGAGGTCCATGTGGAAGAGAAAAGGGAGGTGTGGTCCTGCTGTAACTAAAACCAAGGGAGTCCTCATTTGTGGTGAACTGTGACCACTTGACAAGCAGGTGGTAGCCAGGTGACATTGTGCTTGTCTGGGATAAAGGGCCAAGTGAATCAGCTAGAATTAAGCAGGAGCAAAACTATATAAGAAGCCCACAGCCTCGAAGATTCCTTTCATGTGGCCATGCAGGCACCTAAGTCCCTTTTTATCTGAATGATGGAAGCATGGCAGGTGAAGTCAGAGGAATGGCTGCATTACCTCCATTACCTCCTGGCAAACCATTTAGAGGAATTAGTGCCAATAAGAGGAGGGAATGCCAAACTGTCCTTGCATGTTCCTAATCCAGGCATTATTTGTGTCAGACGACATGCAGCGAATTTAAACTCAGCTTGTGAGCATGTCATGGTGGGTTAGGTGGCTCACCTGTTACGTCCTCAGGCTATAGCTCTGCTCCCTGTGAACTGATGGCATGAGGGTGCCTTCATCTCAAACTAATGAACAGCCTACAAACTTTTTTCATGCAGAAAGCAATTACATATAGATAGGTATCAGTCGTTCAAGGCACAAAAGGTGTCTAAAGTTCAAAGCCAAGATCCCGCACAGGGAATCTAAGTGATTTCAGGTCTCATGCCGGGCTTCAGCTGCAGTTCTCTATTCTAGCCTAGGAGGTTTCGAAGGGCCTCCAGCCTGGGCTAACTTTAACCCGTGGGTTTGTCTCCACGTGTCCTTTACTCATTTGTATCAGGACCCCAGACTCACCTCTTGAGTCAGTAGGGCAAGGAATAAATATATCATCCGGGGAGTGGAGACAGAATCAGAAAGCACTTTAAAAAAATTATTTTTATTTGCTTCTCTTATTTTTAGTTGATACGTAATAATTGTAATAATATGTATGATTATACATATTTACAGAGATAGACATTTCAGTACATGCATACCCAAGGTATAATGATCAAATCAGGGTAATCAGCATATCCATCACCTCAAACCTTATCATTTCTTTGTGTTGTATACATTCAAAATTCTTTCTTCTAGCTTATCCTTGTCAACCATACAAAGTCTGTGGGGAAGACATCCCCAGAGAAAGATTTGGTGGGAGGTATAATCCCTTGAAGTAGTAATGAGGTCTGCCCATTCCCTGGTCACAAACCATCCGCTCTGAGTACATCATTGCCCTTGACTTGTTGAAAACTCAGGAAACCTTAGTCCAATACTGAGATTCAACTACCAGCATCGGGAAGAATAGTACGTGAGCGGTGGGAAACGCTGAATAGGAACCATGAGCAACCCACCTGGTGGACCAAGAGTGTTGAAATGAAACACAGGGTACCCAGGGAATGATGCTGTTAAAGAAGAAATTGGAGGGGCTGATTAGTGCGCGTAAGTAGTCCCTTACCACCCCCTTGTGGCCACTTAAAACACTTGATGGCTCCTCGCAGTTCACGTAAATTAAAAAGATTTAAGTTGTTGCAGTCATCGTTAAAACACCAGCTGACAGGTTTGATTTTGTCATCCCTCATATGTGATCCAGAAATTGATCTAGCCAATCTTTTATTATTGCAACCCATAAAAATCAGTTGCGATTTTCTTTTACCTGAGAGAGACAATAATTATGTTTTCATGGTCTTACCCTGGGGATCTATAAAGTCACCTCACCTGCTATCTATCACAGTGTTGTTAGAAGGGATTTAATTTAAATGCAGAGACTTCTGTTTATGGCCTTCAGGGAATGGGTGATTAAACTAGAAAACAATCAAGACTCCTAAATTGTCACTTGTTGAGGAAAGCAATCTGGAGTTTTTACACACACACACACACACACACACACACACACACACATACACACCCTAAATATATAGTGCTTTCAATTTAAACCTCCAACCAATACACAGGTTAATGCACCTTTTTGGCTGTTGGAGGCACACCCACCTAGAAGGTCACCTGAAGACTTCTGTTTGGGAAAAATAATGACTGGATTCCCTAAAATCCCTCAAGGCTACAATGCATGATGCCATTCTGTTAAGGCCCGAGGGACCCAGAACAGGATTCATTTGGAAAACCAATCATTAATATACTCACTTGAAGAGACTCTGGCAGATCTTACCTGCGCAAGTAGGGGAGGGCTAATGAGAGCTCGCTAATAACCTGCAAATGATAATTCCAGGGATTTGATTCTACATGAATCAATAGAGCATCACCAGATGGGCCCCTGGTTAGAGAATCCTCCCTCCAGAGGTGCTGAGAGGTATTACTTTAGAAAACTTATCTCTTTCATAAGACCCATCGGGCCTTTCTATATTTCTATCAAGCATTGGCCCTCATTTTCTCACTCTTTTATATTAATAATAAAAATAGCCAATTTCTTTTCAACACGTACATTGTAGGTCCTGTTGTGAGAGTAATATATGCATCAGCTCTTAATAATTCTCTTCACGGACTTCATGACCCAGCATAGATTCCCTGGCTTACCATCACAATCACACTCTTTCAAATATCCTCCTCTCCCTTGATCCTCTCTCCTTCTTTTGTATTCATTTTTCAAAATCCCATGCTTTCTTCAACCCAACCATCTGACTACTCCATACCTGCACAAAATATCTGGAGATAGCTAGAGAAAAACCAATGGTTTTTCTTTTTCCTTTTCCCTTCACCCACCA